TAGCTGGGACTACAGGCATATGCCACCACGCCCAGCTAATTTTTGTATTTTTAGTAGAGATGGGGTTTCACCATGTTGGCCAGGCTGGTCTCAAACTCCTGACCTCATAATTCTCCTGCCTAGGCCTCCCAAAGTGCTGGGATTGCAGGCGTGAGCCACTGCGCCCAGCCAGGGCAATTTGTTGTTTTGTTCCTGATTAGTTACTTCACTTTTCTCTCTCTCTTTTTGTATTTTGGACAGGGTCTCACTTCATTGGCCAGACTGGAGTACAATGGTGCCATCATAGCTCACTGCAGCCTCCACATGCTCCCACCTCTACCTCAGCCACACAAGTAGCTGGGACTACAAGCACAGGTCACCAGGTCTCAAACTCCTGACCTCATGATCCACCCGCCTCGGCCTCGGCCTGGGCCTCCCAAAGTGCTGAGATGACAATCGTGAGCCACTGGGCCCGGCGTATTGCGTGCAGAGTTTGATGGAAGAGCGGGGAGCCATCTTGGAATGTGGGAGCCACAATGTAGCAGGAACCTGGACTGTGATGAGTCTTCACAGAGCGGAGCAGTCATACCCGTACTTTATGGCAGAGAGAAACCCACACCTCCCCATTCCACGTAGGTCCCAGTTCCTTCTGGTCTGTTTCACACAGTGATTCTGGAGAATTTTCTCCCACCCTCGCCCCTACCCCATACTCCCCAGTTCTTCAACCCCTCTCCCAGTCTGGTCTGAGGGCCCATCACTTACTCTTCGTCCTCCTCTGCCCCCTGCAGCGTCTGCTCCTTCCGCTGCTGCCGGCAGATAAGGATGCCCGTGGCGGCCACAGCAGTAGCGATAATGGCAGCGATGATGCCCCCAATGATGCCGCCCGTGGCTCCTGCGCCCGCTGTGTTGGGGGTCTCTGCAAGGAGAGGGACAGTGTGAGGGGGTCTCAAGGAGGAAGACACGGCTCCTTACTCCAAGCTACCACCCCCCATCATCGCCTGCCTGCCTATGTTCTCTCCCGAGGGAAGGGGACTTTGTTTCATTTGGCTCAACCTACTGAGCATGAAGAAGGGGCATCCGTATGTGCCCCGCTTGGGACGTGAGTGGAGAACACAACATACAAAGTCTTTACCTTCATGGAACTTGGATTCTGGTTGGGCAGGGAGGCCAACGGTAAGCAAACCAGCACAATAGCTCACATGCTAGATGGGAGTAAGTCATGGGAAATACAAAAATAAGAGAGTGTGGAAGTGAGAGGACCTGCCAAGTGGGGTCCCCAAAGGTAGTGGGAGGGCCCGTGCCTTACTGCAAGGTGACAGCTGAGCAAAGACCTGAAAGAGACACTGGGGATGAGCCATGAGAGTGTCTTGGGGCGTCCGAGGCAGCGCAAATAGCCAGAGGCCCTGCCGGAGGCTTGTGAGGTTTTATGGTTTTTTTTTTTTTTTTTTGAGACGGCCTCACTTTGTTACCGAGGCTAGAATGCATTGGTGTGATCACTGCTCACTGTAGCCTCCATCTCTTGGGCTCAAGCGATCCTCCCACCTCGCCCTCTGGAGAAGCTGGAACTACAGGCATGTGCCACTACGCAAGCTTATTTTTATTTTTTAAAATTTTTTGTAGAGCTGGGGTTTTGCCATGTTGCCCAGGCTGGCACTGAACTCCAGGGCTCAAGTGACCCTCCCGCCTCGGCCTCCCTAAGTGCTGGGATTACACTGCACTAGGCTTGCCTTGTGTTGTATTTTTTTAAAGAAATGTACTTGGTCACATGATCTGAGCTGTCCGTGCAGCAGAGAGCTGCATACTTGGGAGTTCTGGACAATTTGAGGGGATCCTACACTCCAGGGCTGCACCCTGGGAATGGGGCACATTCAGGGGGTCCCACACTCAGGTCCCATCTCACTCACAGCCTTGTGTTTTTAAAGAACAGAAAGCCGGGCGCAGTGGCGCGTGCCTGTAGTCCCAGCTACTCGGGAGGCTGAGGCGGGAGAATCGCTTGAGCCCAGGAGTTCTGGGCTGTCGGGTGTCTGCACTAAGTTCGGCGTCAACATAGTGACCCCCTGGGAGCAGGGGACCACCAGGTTGCCTAAGGAGGGGTGAACCGGCCCAGGTCAGAAACAGAGCAGGTCAAAACTCCCGTGCTGATCAGTAGTGGGATCGTGCCTGTGAATAGCCACTGCACTCCAGCCTGGGCAACATAGCAAGACCCCATCTCTTAAAAACAACAACAATAACAACAAGGAGACCATGTAGCCGGGGCAGAATGAGGCTGGGGAGAGTGGGGAGATGAGAGGAGAGGAGACAGGACCAGAAGAGGCTAGAAGGCAGAGAATGTGGGGGTAGAAATCTGAGATCAAGAATCCCCTCTGGGGACTGGAATCTCCTCCCACTTATCAGGAAAGGGGTCAGGGCCCAGGGCAGTGGCTGCCACCTGTCATCCCAGTGCTTTGGGAGGCCGAGGCAGGAGGATTGCTTAAGACCAGCTAGGGCAATGAGCACGAGACCTCATCTCTAGAAGAAATTGAAAAATTAGCTGGGGCCAGGCACAGTGGCTCACACCTGTCATCCCAGCACTTTTGGAGGCTGAAGTGGGAGGATCGCTTGAGCCCGGGAGTTTGAGACCAGTCTGGGTAACACCGACAGACCATGCCCATTCTACAAAAGAAAAAAAAAAAAGGCTGTGCGCGGGGGCTCACACCGTAATGCTGTAATCCCAGCACTTTGGGAGGCCGAGACAGGTGGATTACGAGGTCAGGAGATGGAGAGCATCCTGGCCAACGTGATGAAACCCCATCTCTACTAAAAATACAAAAATCAGCCAGGCATGCTGATGCATGCCTATAATCCCAGCTACTCGGGAGGCTGAGGCAGGAGAATCACTTGAACCCAGGAGGCGGAGGTTTGCAGTGAGCCGAGATCATGCCAAGAGACAGAGCACAACTCCGTCTCAAAAAAAAAAAAATCAACACAAGACAGAAAAAGGGGTGAAGCCCATGTGCTCCTTGGCGCCTCTTCCTAGCACCTCCCATTTCCAAGTCTCCTAATGGAAGAGTTTTTGAAGTGGTTACCTGTTTACTTGCCAATTTCCACACTGGACCGTGCACCTGAGGTCCAGCACACGGTAGGTGTTCGGTGGGTGTGTTAGAAGGACCCATTGTGTGCCAGGCGGTGACGGTTCCCCGCCCCTGCCCTGCTGTTGCCCGGGTGGGGTGAGTGGGCGAGTAAAGACAATAAAGAACGAGTGAGTAACAAGTATGGAAAAGCCCAGGGGGGTCACTCGAGCATCAGCCTCACTCTCCAGATGGGGAGGAAGCTTCCAGAAGATGCTGGACTGCTGGCTCTCCACTGCTCCTGTTCCACAGCCTGGCATCCTCTGGAGGCCTTCAGAGGGTGGGCAAGTGACGGAGAAACTGCCCCTCAATCTGCACACACATCTTCATCCTAAACATACAGCTGCTTTTCCCGTGGTCATTATGGCCGTGTGCACTGGGAGGGCGGGACTGGGTCTGTGCAGGTCACCGAGGCAGCCCCAGCACTGCCTGGCACAGGGCTCGGTGGGGTCTGTGGAGGTCGACGAGGCTGCATGAGGGCATCATGGGCGCGTCCCGACTGGGTCCTGCTACGGCCTTGTGAGGCCGATGTGAACACCGGCCCTGTGTTACAGAGGAGGCAGGGAGGCTCAGGAGGGCAGTGATGACCCGGGTAGCCTGGGAAGTCAAGGACCCCCTCTGTCTTTGCTTTTCCGGTTGAGAGGGGCTGAAGGAAGCTGCTGCCACTCCCAGGAAGTCACTGAAAAGTCCCTTGGGTGACCGATGGGGGCAAGGGTGGAGGAGGCGGTTAGGGAAGCCACTGTGGGGGTGGACAAAGGTGGGACTTCCCCAGCACCGCGCCTACCCATGCCCTTAGGGCCCCTGAGAATGGGAGTGGGGAGCAGCTCTCCCCTCCAGGGACCCTCAGCAGCATGGTGGAGGTGAGGTCTGAGGCTGAGGCGGGGCTGGCTCGCAGCCCCCCCCATTCTCCCAGGACGCAGGGAACCTGGCTGCCCCCACCCCCACCTCCACCTGAAGGCCCAGGAGTTCAGAGAACTCGGGCCTCCTACCCGTCTGGCCACAGGATCCAGAAAGGCAGCCTCTGTCTTGGGACCTAGAAGTCCACATGCCCCCGCCTCTGAGCCCACAGTTCAGGACCTGAATCCTAGTTCCACAAGCCTCGTGATTCTCAGCCGTCCAATGTGTCTTTCCAGCATCCAAGGAGTGCGGGCCCGCAGCCTTCTCTGTCTCACCCCTGCCAGGATCCCATTCTCCGGGAACCTGGTTTGGCTCCTCCCAGCCCCTGGGACCGAGGAGTCCCTGTCCCAACCCCTCTTTCCCCACGACCCAAGGAGGGGTCTGATGTATTACAAGACACCCCCGATGTTTTCCTCCAAGGCATTTATTAACTCCTGAGTGTCACGGGGCCAGGGGCAGGCTGGAGCCCAAACCAAGTCTCTGGGGGTGGGGTCCTCTCTGGGTCCCCATGGCTGGACTCTCAGGGCTCCCCATGCAGCCCTAGAGACGGGAGGCATCCAGTGTGCAGTTCTAGCTCCCTCCAAGTCCCAGGGAAGTGGGAGGCAGCGTTCCACTCCAGTGTCCTCCAGACGAACAGGTCCGACCAGTCTGGAACTGTAGGCTGGCGTGGCCCTGCTGGGGCCGAGTCTGGTTCTCTGTCTGTGTCCGGGTCACACATAAACTGCACGCCGCGAGATGAGGGAACCATCCAGCTGGGACTCCATGTCATCCTCAAGGGCTGGGGGTGGAGGCAACATGAGGCCTTTCTCTGCTTTCTCTTCCTCCTCTTCCTCCTCCTCCTCCTTGCCATCTGGTTCCGTGGGACCAGGGACTACTGGCGTCCAGAAGACGGGGTCCCCATTTCCCAGCACCTGAGTTTTCGCATCGAAGAATCCCCGTAGCCCACTCTCTACTGTGTGAACACCGCAGGCTCCTCCTCTTCCTCCTCCTCCTCCTTGCCATCTGGTTCCGTGGGACCAGGGACTACTGGCGTCCAGAAGACGGGGTCCCCATTTCCCAGCACCTGAGTTTTCGCATCGAAGAATCCCCCGTCGCCGCTGCCTCCTCCACCTCCTCCTCCTCCTCCTTCGGGGCTCTTCCTCTTCCTCCTCCCCCTCAGCAGGATGAAGGCCAAGGACCCCCCAGCCAGAAGCAGCAGCACCAGCAGTGTCCCCCCCACGGCCCCCCACACCAGCTGGCCCATGTCTCGGGGCGAGGCCCTGGGGGTTTCTGAGGAGAGAGAGGACGGGTGAGAGAGAGAGAAAGGGAGACACAAGGTCACCAGGACAGCTCTGGGCAGTGAGGAGGCAGGGGAGACACAGGATGGGGGGAGTGACCAAAATTAGGGGGCATCTAGGCAGAAGAATGGAGGAGGAGGAGGAGGAAGTAGGGGGAAGGGAAGCCCCTCGCCCTTCACCACGGCCTGAGCACTTTGTACAAGGAAGGGAGGCCCCAGTGGTTCCCAGGTGTCTGTGTTTTGCAACATTTAAATAGCTAGCGAACCTCTCAAAAACCAGGTGATTTCACCTAAAAATCCAGGTTTCTCTTATGGGGGAAAAATTAGGTCTGAGAACACCAAATTCCCATCACCAAACTCCCATCTCTGGTGATTGCTGTAGCTGAGTGGAAGCTGGCAATTCGGACACAATGGAACTGGCCACTTAGTCACTGGCCGGGTCCCCAGAGGCACCTGGGTTTGCAGCCCTCCCTGAGTGTGCTGTGGGGTCCTCGCACAGCTGCGAGCTCAGGGGCACACCCCCTTGGTGGAGGACAGCTGGGTTTCAGTGGGAGGCTGTCTGATCCCAAAGCTCTTTGCAGAGGGCCACAGAATCCTGGTAATTCTGCCCTGTCGAGTGACTGGGAGCACTCATTCCCAGTGCTGTGGCCGCCTCCTCAGCAGCCACTCATCCCCAGCATCTAAAATGGGGTTCTTGGCTGGGCACTGTGGCTCACACCTGTAATCTCAGCACTTTGGGAGGCCGAGGCAGGCAAATCACAAGGTCAGGGGATCGAGACCATCCTGGCCAACATGGTGAAACTGTCTCTACTAAAATACAAAAATTAGCTGGACGTGGTGGCATGCACATGTAATCCCAGCTCCTGGGGAGGCTGAGGCAAGGGAATTGCTTGAACCTGGGAGACAGAGGTTGCAGTGAGCCAGGATCATGCCACTACATTCCAGTCTGGCAACAGAGCAAGACTCCGTCTCAAAAAAAAACAAAAGCAAAAAACAAAAAACAAAACTGGGGGGGTTCTCACAGACTGGGACAGTGGGACTTCCTTAGTGCTCTCGCGGGAGCTGAGCAGGTGCAGATGGGGGCATGGGAGGTAGCGGGGAGGTGGAGAGAGGAAATCATGGAGTGCTGAGGAGGGAAGTGTGAGCAGGGATGGATGGGGCTCCTGGGCCCCATGCCAGGGACAGAAATCATTGTAACCAGAACCTACCCGCTCCCGCATGCAAGGCCTAACTGGGACAGATGTGGGCGGAGGGCTCACCTACACCTGACCCCACCTCCACACCTCTACACATAGGACGGGCTGAGACCCAGGAAGGACATCTGTTTCTGTTGTTTTCAAATAGAGGGTCATGACCTAGCGGGCTGTCAGATTAGCTTAGTGACTCGAAAATAGCATTAAAAAACAAAAACAGGAGGATAAAATCTTTTTGGCGGGGTTGGGGGGTTAGGGTGGTACACACATCTCTATACACTGGGGTGAGGAGGGAAACAGATTTTCCTCCTTATTGGGAGTGCCGGTCACTAACTGGACTAGGCTGAGCCTGTCTGCTTCTGGAGGTGGCATCGGTGTTTTGGAACTCGAGGCTAAGTCTGTTCATGTGTCTGGAGGTCAAAGTTCTGATTCGGGCTGGGCGTGGCGGCTCATGCCTGTAATCCCAGCACTTTGGGAGGCGGAGGCAGGAGGATTGCTTTGAGGCCAGGAGTTCAAGACCAACCTGGCCAACATAGCAAGACCCTGTCTCTATTTAAAAAAAAAAAAAAGTTCTCTTGAGTTTGTAAAGATAGATGTGTCCTGTGGTGTGGTGCGTGCACCTAGGTTCGTGCTGCTGTGGACTCCACACTGTGTCTGTAACGGGCCTGTGTGTGCCTGGATGTGGGTTCGTGGCTCAGAAAGCCTCTGAGAGCGACCCCAGCAGCCTTGAGTGTGTCTCCTCTGGCTGTGGCTGTTGGGGTGCTCACTGCCTGTGAAGGGGTTTCTAGGGTGCTTGGAGCATGCGTGTTTCTGCAGGCATTATCTGTAGGTCTTAGTACTGATGTTGCTGGCTGTGGGTGGCTCTGTGGCCACCGTCGGGGGGAGCTGGGGGTGTCTTTCCGCAGCGCTGAGTCTTTCTCTACTGTGTCTGTGTTCTGCAGGCCCCCACCTTGGAGCCACCTGCTGGGTGCGTGGACAGGGGATCAGCTCAGGTGTATCTGGGGTAGAGGTTATGGGTGTAATTCCAGTTTGGTGTCTGGGTGGGTGGAGCTGACCCTCCCCTGGGTGTGCTGCTGAGGGCAGGGACTGTGGCTCACTCACCATTGTATTCCCAACCTCAGCAAGAGTGCCTGGCAAACAGGAAGCACATATTTGTTTAATGAGAATGTCCCTAACGGAGTTTCTGGAGAGTTTGGGGGAGTTTCGGTGACAAGCTCCTCCCTGAATGGCTTTGAGTTTCCGCCCGAGTATCTGTGTGTGAGGGGTGACATTCCTCCGTGTGTGGCCGTCGCTGTCCGGGGTTAGTTTTGCCCCCAGCATGCTGTGTGATGCCTCCCTCCAGGGGCCTGTGCACGTCCCAGCGAGTTAGGTGAGCCCGGAGCGGGACAGCTGTCTCTCTGGGTTTGTGGTCTGCGACAGTGTTTCCCATAGGGGTGTCCTGTCTCCCTGGCTGGATCTGGATTCCTGAGGAGGGGTCTCTTTTCCCTTGGGTGTCCCTGCAAGCATGTGTGCGTTCTAACATTATGACTCAGGAAAGGGGTCTGTTTCTCCCTCTGAGACTAGGCTGTCTGCATGATAGGGACAGCCCCTGTCTGGGAGTTTGTCCCTTCACCTTCAGTCAGGTTTCTGGGGGGCATGCACATTGCATGTCTGCACAGGTTGTGCTACATAAACCGTTGCCCTGGAGTGTTTCTAAGAATGCCTCTTTCCAGCCAGGTGCGGTGGCTCACACCTGTGATCCCAGCACTTCAGGAGGCTGAGGCAGGTGGATCACCTGAGGTCAGGAGTTTGAGACCAGCCTAACCAATATGGTGAAACCCCGTCTCTACTGAAAATACAAAAATTAGCTGGGCATGGTGGTGGACACCTGTAGTCCCAGTTACTCTGGAGGCTGAGACAGGAGAATTGCTTGAACCTGGGAGGTGGAGGTTGCAGTGAGCCGAGATCACACCCCTGCACTCCAGCCTGAGAGACAGAGCAAGACTCCATCTCAAAAAAAAGAAAAAAGTTCAATCCCAGCTACTTGGAAAAGAAAAAAGAAAAAAAAAAAAGTCTCTTTCCAGGTGTCATCTGGCTTCGTTCAGTCTGTCTTGGCTGGTGCCACTGTCCTCCTGGGTGTGTGTCTTGGTGACAATGGGTTTGCAGGGCTACTGTCTCAGCGCGTGTCTCGATTCCGATGCATCTCTGCGACAGAACTTCCCAGCACAGGGAGTGTCTGTGGCTGTGGTCCTGCCAGCTGTGGCGCTGACAGGAGGGGTCTCTGGCCTCAGCTCTGGGGCCTATGGGTCTCTCTGTCCCGGGGAGCACGGCTCTGTGACAGTCCTGGCCTCTCTCTAGCTGTGGGCTCTGCAGTTGTGAGTTCGACCCGGGTTCTGTCACTGGCTGATGGTCTGGCTTCGCGCTTCTTCTCTCTGGCTCCGAGCCTCGGGGTCGGATTGTGTTTCTAGGCGTGGGAGCTCCTGGTTTCTGTCTCTGAGGTTTGCATGCCTGACTCTGGGTGTGCGTCTTTTTCACAAGCTGGAGCCCGGGGCAGCCTCCCTGGATCTCTCCATGAAATTAGACCCTTCCCAGGCCTCTATTTTCTGAGAACCCTGAGCAAGGTCGTCAACCCCCCATCTGCTGCCGTCACCTACCCTGGCATCCCAAATCCAGACCCCAGCCTGAGGCCACAAGAGGAAAGCCAACCCTCCCCTCCCCTCAGCCAGGTGGGTCCACATGCCTCCCAGGCCGGCGCACAGCCTCCCCACCTGCAGCCCCCAAACCCCGAAGGGTGGAATTCCGGGGGAACGCACCCAGGTCTCCACACACGGCCCCCAAGACACACTCACCTCGGACAAAGATGACCTGCTCAGCTCGGCCCGTGCCCACGGCATTGGTGACCGTGCAGATGAAGGTGGTGTTGAACAGGCTGTCCACCGCGTGGATGACCAGCTGGGAGCCCTGGGCTACTGCGGAGGTCGGGAAGGTGCCTGAGGTCCTGGAGGGTGTGGGGTCAAGTGAGGGGAATTCCAAGGTTAGAGGGGAGCACAGGCCTCATCCCTGAAGATACACCCACCAGGGGCCAAGCTCCAAGGGCCTAACTCCCCCTGGAGACCCCAAATTACCGAAATGCAAGCTCCCTCCATCCTAGAAGACTTCAGAGTTTAGGCCCAACCCTTCCTCCCTCAGACCCAGGAGTCTAGGCCCCCAGCCCCTCTTCCCTCAGACCCAGGAATCCAGGCCCCCAGCCCCTCCTCCCTCAGACCCAGGAGTCCAGACCCCAGCCCCTCCTCCCTCAGAC